TTGCGGATACAGACTAACACGGCTGCTACTCTGAAATCTAAAAGACTGTAGGGCTGCACTACTGAAACAGGCCTCCAACCTCACGCCACATCAGGAAAGCAATGCTACATGGAAAGGTGGACTGAGCTTCAAGTAAAAGCTCTGCAAATCGCCACAATGAGCAGATTTCTATGGCAGGCCCTGGAGGTGGCCTTGAACCTGGTAAGAAAACACCCCAATACATTGAAAGTCTAGTATGACTAGTAAATCCAAAATCCACTTTTGGATACAAATCTCAATCCACTTGGATAAACACCAAGAGAAGATGGCTAATGGTATTAGGCTCAGAGGACAAGCTACAGTCAGTCTGGGAAGCATTCAATGATTTTGTCCTATTAAGATAAGAGGTCTTTTAGTATGTAAAGTTTGTAACCTGGCTTCCTTTAGAAAAGGGAATATGGCCTAGGGAAAAATTTATTGTGTGAATCAAATGATAGTCCGACAAGTCTCAGGAAATAAAAGTTTAGCATGGGGATGCTTATTCTTACAGAAGACGAGGCATTACAGGTCATCCATCAGTCCTGCTATTGCCAGACATTTTGTGAATACTCCCAGTGCCATGGAATCCAAAGGGCAGAACCCTCTACTGATAATGGTTGAGCATCTCTGTGAATCACAGGTACTTCCTGTGTGGGCCTGGTAGCTATCTATATGAAAGTATGTATCCCGTAAGGTTAGAGACTGAAACAAGATTTGTGCTCAGAGAGAAGGAATAATGGAAGCAAGAGTTACTATCCTAAACCTCAGATGGTGTATGTATTTTATGAGTCTCCTCAGGTCTAGGGTAGGACGAAGACCCCCTTTCTTCTTCAGAATGATGGGAAGCCTCTGCCCCTGAATTCTATTTAAACATCCCCTACGGCTCATAGATGATGCAAAGTGGCCAGGCTCTTGTGAGAAGGGTCTTTACATAAGAACATAAGAATGACTATACTGGGTCAGACCAAAGGTCCATCTAGCCCAGTATCCTGTCAAGTGATCCATCCCATCTCACATTCCCAGCTTCTGGCAAACAGAGGCAACCCAACAGATTTAGTTGGGGTTGGTCTTGCTTTGAGTAGGGGGTTGGACTAGATAACCTCCTGAGGTCTCTTCCAACCCTAATCTTCTATGATTCTATGACAACACCCTTGCCCATCCTGGCTATTAGCCACCGATGGACCTATCTGTCATGACCTTATCTATTTCTTTTTTTAATGCTGTTAGTGTCTTGGCCTTTAGAACATCCTCTGGCAAGGCTGCTTATTAATTTCATTTGGTGACCCCTAGTTCTTGTGTTCTGAGAAGGAGTAAATAACACTTCCTTGTTTACTTTCTCCACACTGGTCAGAATTTTAGAGAACTCAATCATATCCCCCTGTCGTCGTCTCTTTTCCAAGCTGAAAAATGCTAATCTTATTAACCTCTCCTCATATGCCCCAGATCCCTAACCACTTCTGTCCATCTCTGCATCTTTTCCAATTCCAATTCCTGAAGAGGGACAAGGAAGGGAGGTAGAGGTAGGGGGTAAAGAGCAGAATTGTATGTATTAGCCATGGATGATGATCTCCAACATCCATCTATCCTATGGTATGGCAGACCATACCCAGTGAAACTGAGCAAGGTAGCTTCCGAATGCCATACTCTCTGGACTGGATCTGATATGGCTCCTAACAGTCCTGTCAAATTTGCTGACGTGTCATATGGATCTTCACTGCCAAGAAAGAGGAAGGCTAGTGCCTTCTGTTGTACCTTGGCTTGGCACAGTACTTGTGTTGCCAGGAATAACAGGACAGCGTAGTTGCTCAACTGGGGTTGAGGACAATATGGCTTGCACTATGCGTGTAAATCCTGTATGGCGGCTTTTGAGTCTTAATGAGTTCAAAGCACTATCTATATGTTCTTAATAGCGCTCTCCTCTCAAAGAACAAGTCCTCCCTCATGGCATATACTCCTCTTGGGATGCCTGGAGCCACGTTGTGCTGCATATTGTTACTACAGTGGCAGTACGTTTGGCCACAGTAGAGGAGGCCTCAGCTTATAAGGCCATCTTGGCCAGCAATTGGCCTTCCTTAATTATGTCCCTGATCATCTCTCTGATGTCATGCAGAAGCTTAAACAGGAAGGCGGCCATCCTGTTCTACTGCTGAACGAAGAAAGTTGGGATGAGCATAGAAATATTTAAACCCCATTGCAGGGACCTCCACTGCTTTGTTAATCACTTCACAGGGATATTATTGTGGCTGGTGTCTGCCACAGGCTTTAGAGCTTGGGTCAAGGACAGGGTGGATAAAAATCAATGCTTTAACAAAAAAAAACCCATTTTTTTATTTAAATCGGATTTTTTTGATAAAATGCTTTTTGAGGAAAAAGCCTCTCTAAAAATAGTTTTACTTAAAATACATTATAGCTCAAAGATATCTCATCATGGAACAGGGATTATAAATTCTAATTCTATAGTATGAGACAATATATTCATGTAATGTTTAAAAAAAGTTTTGTAAATGAGTTCCAATAGTTCATGGATTAGGGACCCAATCTTATGGGGTTCCACAGGCTTCTGTATAGGTTATTTAGGTTAATCTTTCTATCTACCCAATGGGACTCAGTGCTCAGTCTAGAAGATACCATCAGAGATGCTTAGTTTTGCAGTTCTCAAACTGTGGATTTGTGTCTCCAGAGGTAATATGCTTGTTAACAGCAAAAATTTTTTACAATAAATAAATAAATAAATAAATATATAGAAGTGAGAAATAACAGACCTCAACCCTATTGTCCCTCTGCAAATTTGTGTACAGAGTCAGAGTCAATCTCTTTTCTCTCTCTAAAAGTGCAAAGTTTCAAAAAGTTCAATGAATAGAAAATTGTTGGGGGTGGAATAGATCTGGATAAGGAGAAGAAGTCTGGAGATAAATGTGAGAAGTGAGGGACATATGCTTGTTTTGTTAAAATATTATGTTTGCTGTTCTTGCCAAACCAACTCCAACAGAGGGGAAGTGCGATAGACATGAGCAACACATCTCGAAGAACGCCAGTTACGGAACTGGTAACTGTCCTTTCTTCAAGTGCTTGCTCATGTGTATTCCACAGTAGCTATGCCTGATGGAGGTGGGTAGGAGATCACAGATTCCCTGGCTGAAGCATAGCTCTACCGAAACCAGCGTCATCCCTGGCGTGTGAGACAATCGCGTAGTGCGAGGTGAACGTGTGCACTGAGGACCAGGTAGCAGCTCTACAGATGTCCTGGATAGGGACATGGGCCACAAAGACAGCCGACGAGGCCTGAGCCCTTGTCGAGTGCGCCCTCATGATAGGTGATGAGGGAACCCCTGCTAGGTCGTAGCATGTGTGGATGCATGATGTAATCCACTGGGAAAGCCTCTGGGTGGAGATCAGTTGACCCTTCATGCGCTCGGCTGAAGCAACAAATAGTTGCGAAGACCTGCGGAATGGCTTAGTCCGATCTAGATAAAAAGCCAGTGCCCTACGTACATCGAGCATATGGAGGCGGCGTTCCTCACTAGAGGCATGAGGTTTGGGACAGAGGACAGGCAGGAAGATGTCCTGGCCCATGTGAAAAGCGGAGACCACCTTAGGGAGGAATGCAGGACCTGTACCTTGTCCTTGTGAAAGACTATGTAGGGGGGGGGTGGGTCGCAGGTCAGGTCCGAGCTCCGAAACCCGCCGGGCTGACGTCATAACCACGAGGAAGGCTACCTTCCATGAAAGGTGAGACCATGAGCATGTGGCTAGGGGCTCAAACAGGGGCCCCGTGAAGCGGGATAATACCAAATTTAGATCCCACTGAGAACAGGGGGTCTAGCGTACAGAAAAGACCCGTCTAGCCCTTTGAGGAAACGCCAGGTCATGGTATGGGAGAAAACCGAGCAGCCCTGGACTGGTGGATGGAATGCCAATATAGCCGCCAGGTGCACCCTGACGGAGGAAGGCACCAGGCCCTGAGTTCTAAGGTGAAGGAAGTACTCAAGGATAAGTTGG